CTGATTATAAAAACGAGAACCAACAATGAAATGGTTGATCACGATAAGAGTTAAATCCTGGGTTAGTTCGGTGTGTGAATGTACCAAGTTTATTTATAAACGAAAAATGATAATTTAAAAAGAAATTGGAGTGCTTTTACTTCTAGTGTATTTAACAAATGATTACAAGTATTTCTATTTTATTCATGCAATATATCAAAAACGTTGCGATTAACAAATAATACTTGTACTTAATTCAGAGTAGTTGTTACAGATCGGGTGAAGTATTTTAAAATAAAACTGTTCTTACCTCTCAGTTAGAAACACGTATTACGATTATACGTTTATTATGTTCTCGTATTCAGTAATATTTTAATAACAATTTATTCTGTCAGTTACAAGTTATAAATTCTCAACACACAAAACATTAAATCTTCGTTCTTGACTTCTGTTCACGTCACTTGATCCCACGAACCCTCACTTCGCTCATCTTCTTCAGTCACGAATTTTCCCTGACGAAATAGAAAACCAGGTGGTGTTTGTAAGCAAGTTAAAAGATGGTACTATTTTCCTTGCATATAAAGCTGATAATATTATATTTACTGATTACACATATATATTATTCTAGTTGCTACATTGAAACAGTGTAGTTACTGAAGAATAAAAAAAATCAACCTATATTAACATAATACGAACAGCAAAAAACGTTATGTAAGAGGTGTTGTATATAGATATATTGGGTATGCACACACACACACACAATTGGTGTTACGTGACTGAAGAAGGTTATGACTTGTATACAAGAGTATCGATAAGTTTTGCTGGTAGTTTATTGCCCAGGGCAACAATGGCGTTTCTACAACTATTCACTATGACTGCTTCCCTCTCATCATGCACAAGAAATTATACGCAGATATTTCCCACCCACCCCCTATTACTCCTTTTACTTGAAACCTACTCCCCTCTATTTTTTCTATATCTTCGTTTATTTTACAAAGAATTTTGACTATTCAGCGATTAACTTAAGATTACATATTATATTTTAATGGTTCGCATATCTTTACCAAAGCACTGCTTTGTCTCAGCAAAGAACGTCATGAATTCCAATTTTGTTACTTTCTCTACATCTTAGTAACCTCTCATTATGTCCCTGGTTGTTGGTTGTGTGTGTGTGTGTGAAATTGATGGATGGTGTTGAAAACTTCCCGTGCATTCAAAGATTCCAACTGCAATTTGCTAAGATGCACGAACGTCGCCTTTTCCATCACAATACTTTTACAAACATAAATACAAGTTTTGTTTATCATTCTCTTTAGCCTCAAAAGCATCGGCTTCTGTGTAAAAAAACAACAGATTATTCATGGACACGTGTGTGTCTCACTTGTCGTTCTCCAAAAACATCGTACATGCTTGTAGCAGGTTCTGTATGTTGTTCTTCTAGCCCGTCGGCAAGTTGTGTACGACTGACAACGTTTGTATTGAACGAAACAGACTTGGACTCAGCACTATTGGTAAAATATAATTTTGGTCGCTAGAACTCGATACTGACATATTTCAAAATGGAGGAAAATAACAGTAAGTGTACGTTTCACAACTATTTCACTCATTCATACCATAGTTTCACCTATAAAGGCATTGTTAATTCTGTATTTATAAAGTTTTACAAGGCATTGACAATTTTACATCTTTACTTATTGGCACTTTCACCGTCTAATCACTCCAAACTTCTAACCCTAAACAGATGAGTCAACCTTTATATTCGTGATTTATTTCATAAGCATAGCACGTAGTTTATATGATTACCTTATATTATTTTTATTTTAAAATAGATTAATTTCGTTGAATATGTCATATCAGCAGTCTGGATCATTCCTAACTTACAAGCAATATTTGGATGATTTTAATCCTAGACGTTTCATGCAAATCTCTTGTTCGAACTTGTCGACTCCAGAAAACCTGTCATGTAAACTAATGTCGTATTCGGGTTTGTTTGTTCTTGTTTCTGTTGTATTATTCTTATTTTTTTTTCTCGCATTTTATGCATAATATGCACAATGGTATTTTAAGTCTGTCTTTTTTTTTTGCGAACTCTTTTAAATAACATTTACATTATTCACATAATAGTCTAGCCAATATAACCAGAAACGGTTTTAATACTCCCACTCAATTTTCTGTACGTTTGGAAAAGCAAGAACCAGATGAACATGATTGGAAATCCCTCAAGACCACCAGCAACGTTAATATATCACTTGTCATTCGGATTAGAACAGTTTAGTCAGCGCAAGGATATTCTTTCAGCAGCTGTGCTTATCACGTGCGCGCGCATAAATTACAGGGATTTACCAGCTTCGCCCAGAAAAACAGATTTCTAGTGATGGTCACCAGCAGCGCCCCACCCGCTATAATTTTCCTGTGCCTACCTCTGTGGACCTTTCTTCACGTATAGCCATTACAAAGAAAGCCCATGATGTGAGTCTTCAGGTTTCGTCACACCACTCATCCTAACTGTCACGACTAACTGAAGTTATGCAACTCCACCCGATTTCTTCTTAACTAAATTTCCAAGGTATTTGAACATCAGTTTACCTTGAAGGCAGCAGTGGTCATTCTTATCCGTTGTATCGTGACACGAGAGGCATCAATTTTAAAAGACGTGCGCTGGCAGCCTCTTTTATTATATCGCTTTTAGTGTGGGATTTTGTTAGATTGTTACGCCATAATATAATTTCGTTGACTTCAGTTAACTACGTTTCTTTATATCTTGAAACTTGAGAAAAAGAAACGACTTTGCTTGTTTGCACCATTATACGAGTATTCTTTCGACAAAACTGTTATATTTTTTCTGCTTCGGTGTGTGTGGGATTTAAACGCCAGTTTTTTACCTGTGGGCACATGCATATTTTATATAGTGTTTTAATTTATACATATCACTCATCATCATTTGTAATTTGCTTCGTTTAGTGTAGAAATATAGAAATATCTTGGGAAATGTTCCTCAACTTTCAAGACTCAGTACGAACCATGTTTTTAAACATCGTGCACCTGATACTTGAATATCGCTTTCGGTATGATGTGTGATCTCGAGCGTTACGGTTGTCTGCACCTCTTAGAACAGTCGCCACCTGTCCGACCCACTCTGACTTTCCAACAGGAAAGGGAAGGTGAGTAGTTTGTCTGGAAAGGTTATGCATCACATGTCCTAATGGTCGAAAGACGATCATAATATACTGGAGAGA